GTATGAAATATTTTACCAGTACCGCCAGGGGCATCCAAAAAAAAAAACGTTTCACCACGCTGTTTCAAAGCGCTGTTACATACACGATCGAAAATAATTCTTTGTGCAGGGGTCATGATAGGTACACCTACTTGAAGAATTTGTGCCAGTTCTCCTGTGTCGTTTTAATTTTGCCACAGATATATAAGAAATAGGACTGTATTCTTAAATATTGTGAAATATTACAGGTTTCCGAGAAATTACTACATAGGAGGAATTGTTACAAATTTTTTAAATTTTTTTTTATTCTTGACATTTCAACGAAAACAAAACCTGTATTTTGATTGAATAAATCACTATTTATTAATCACTTGGTGTAACATTGGTCGAATAAGCTTAGTATTTAAAATACTGGACGATATCACAAACATTATATGTTTAAACGTCTACAGTGTTGTTACAATAATCTAAAATACAAGTAGGCACCTATTTTTTTAACGTAAGTACACATAACAAAAAGATAAATTGAAATATGAGTATTCTACGAATCATAAGTCAACGATTAACTAACGAAGTACCTTATCATGATAAAAATTCAACTCAATTTGCAAGAACTATCTTAGTGGTGTCGGTAGATATGACTTGCTGTTGAATTTACTTACAATCTTCTGATTACCTACCTACCTAAAATACAAGTAGAAGTAATCGTTTATAGAACTAATACCCAAAAGTCTACAAATTAGTAAAATATTATAACAAATATCTTAGAACTTAACTAGGTACCTACTAAAATACAAATTCACATTCACACACCTCGTAACATTCGTAAACAAAAAATTTGCACTGATAACAATCATAAATCTTTCACAAAGATAAATTTTAATTTAAGAAACAAAATAGAAGGAGCAGAATCGTTACAGCCACCTACCACATCATGGCATAAAAGGCATGACAATCGTTAGAAAGTACTGCCTTTAATTGCTGAAGATGATAGAATTTTGTATCTTTTATTGGAATTCTATTCGAATACATTTGACGATGCACGGTTTTCGATCTTATGATCTTGGGTCTCTGTGGAAGAGAAGTCCAGTCGTCATTAAAGTTGAGCTTTACTTCAATTATCATTGTGTTTTATTTTATGGCTCTTATGTCCACTACTTGTAGAGCGCCAGCCCTATGCCCAGGTCTTATACTTTTGTAATACCAATTTTCAGCATCAGCGTAGTTTTTTTACAAACTTTTAGTCAATTTGTATAACTTCATAGGGATTTATCCTGCGTGCTTCCTATGTAATTGTACTGTAATCGCTTGGTAAGCGAATTTCTCGATTTTATAGTTTTCGTTCAATTGCCGCATGGACAGAGTCGCACTCCATTTGTGTTTGTCCTGGTCCTAGAAACTTTTGAGTTATAGTGATATTATTGTACTTTTAACTTATAAACAGCAGGATATTTGACATAATGTTATCACGATTTTGATACCTATACTCATCTGAATAAATTCCGATCGTTAGGTGTTGTTGAATGCAATGTCTTTCGATATAATCGACTAACACTGACACAAATGTAATTGCAGTTAAGTCAGCCGATGTTTCATCAAACCAATAACAAGTGCAATGTGTACTAATTAAATTGAACACTGTGAAGTTATGGACTGTTAATTTAGTTTTAAAGTATAACGCACTAAGAGTATACTATAATATTTTTTTTGCCATAAATTGTTGTTCAAAAGTATATCTGCAAACAGGCGGTTTTTTATTTTCGAAACAGTGTTTTTTGTACATTCCATAAATGTCGGCAAAAAATTCGAATGACGGTTCTAAAAACGACTTAGTACCTAGTATCTTTTCTTAGCATAATGTGATGGTAATTTCGGAATATTATCTAGAAAGTTGTTTAACGTCTATAACTTCTGCGTATTATCGGATCTTGATGTAGGTTTGCAGACTGAGTTTCTTAATTCTTGATGTGATGTCATATCAAATTCATTATTTTTTGTCCAATAACGTTCAGTAAGAGTACCTAGCGAAAGCGTGTTAAGCAACATAAACACAAACTTGTCCTTTTCTGATCCGTCACTATTAATAGGCAAAAAATATAATGCAGTTTCTTTACAACTGGAATGAACATTGTTTGTTGTTTTTAGTGCGGGTTTTGAACATTTCACTAATGAGTTTACATAAATTTTATGTTGTCCCCATTTCATTTGTTTCAAAAAGAATCCGGGTATTTGTATTCTACAGTCTATTTTAGAATATTCTCTTAACTTACTTTTAACACAATAATCAGCCTTGCATCGTTCTCCCATTATTCGAGCAGATCGTAAAGTATACTATAAAAATGTTGTATTTGCTGGTTTTGAATATCCTAAGTACTGCTCTCCTTGCATCCTACGTAATTTGGCTTTGTTTCTCTTCCACGTACTTGGCAAGGCTTTGTGGCGACGCTTTCTACCCTCGTTGATATTATCAATATCTGTATCTGTATCAATGTCGGTTTCTGTGACAGAATCATTACCACTAAGACTGTTGCTGTACTGCCAGTTATGTGATAGGTTGTTTAGTGAAGATATTGTGTCATCATCAGCTAAATAGGAGCTCCGAGCGGCGAGTGATTGTGGATGAAGACTAGTATTAGTTTGTTCAACATAGGAATTTAGTTGGGAGAAACTACCTAAATCATTACAGAGTGCGGTTTTCCATTTACCGGCACGGCTACGGCAATGGCAACGGCACGACTGCCGGGGAAGCAAAAATATATAAAGTGTATGAAATGACCGGCGTGATTTTCCACTTACCGGCGCTGGCGACGGCACGGCAATGACCCCCACACTGCCGGAGCAGTGACAGCAAGATTTCCACTCGTTGCCGGCCGGCAAAACTGCATGTATAGAAGTAAGAAAAATAGAACTCGAAATTGACTTGTGAAACTATGAAATATCTCCTCGTAAAAAGTACATTGTCAGAAAGATAAATGATTGTTGAACTTATTAATATTTTTTTCAAATTGATTAATTGCTATTTTTACATAAAAAAGTGGTTTTAGTGGCTTATGGTGTGGATTTATCAAGTACGCATGGAGTAGTAAACACGATATCTTTTGAAAATATTAATTGTTTAACTCAATCTATTTTTTAATCCCTTCATCTATCATGTGGGAAGCCATGGAATGTAAATGGTAGTTTGATTTTATTTTGTTTGGTTATAATAAATTTTTTTCGGTTACGAAATGTCGAAATTTTCGGTGTTTTAGCGGCCTTTTATAAATTTAATTTTTGTAAATAGACTGCGGCAGTCTGACTGCCTCACTCAGTTCGGCGTCTACCGCCGTCGTGAGGGAATACTTTATTGGTTGTTCGCAGCGGCTCAATAAGATCGCTGTACAACTACAAAATATTCCAAAAACCAAATTTCAAACATACTTGAATCAGAGATTTTTATTACAATATTTTAAAAGTACAAAATAAATAATAGTATATAGTATATAGTACGTACTAAAATTAAGTAGGATGTACATATGTAAGTATATTTACATTTAAATACGTCTTGGACTTTATGGAGGTACCTGAATGATGATATGATGATCATATGAGCGTTATAAGTCGTGCACCTTTGGATTTACCAATTTAGTTTTTTTAAATTGAAGTTTGACATAAACTATTGGAAAATTGGAAGTATAATAATAAGGTTATTTAAAGTGAAAACTTGTGTGTATTTAAACTACTTTAAAAAAATTACGTATAATAATGTTATACGTATTTTTTTTAATGCGCTTAGGGCATGCTCAATTGGATTTACCAATAGTTTCTTTTCCTAATAACTATACCTTAGTAGGTGTGTAGGCATTAATACCTACTGATCTAATTAGTAATGATATCTACTTAGTACTAGTACATACTTAGATATCTTTTACCTAATCACAACAACAAATATGTACCTAATCACAATACCTGCTAAGGTTTTTTGATTAGGTACATATTTGTGCACCATAATATCTACAAACCAAAAAAAAAAATAAACAAACCTCTACACATCTCCAACCATTTCAGTTAGACCAAGACGTATCCTGTAATTCTATGGTTTTTTGACTCAAGTCGTATACTGGCGTATCGTCAATTTTCGTATTTAGCTTGCAATAGAGAATACATTATATTAGATCTTGCATGAAAACAAAACTGAATTACTTGTAATAAATTATTTAGATACATATTTTAGCTATATATTTGAAAAGGTTCAATTTAGTTACATGGTAATCACAAAAAAATATCACATCAAATTTCATAAGTTTTGTTTGTAATTTCATAACTCTATGGACTCGAAAGTCGGCGTCCGACTTACCCATTATAATTTTCAATTATTGGTAATCTTGAATAATTATTTTCGTCGTCAAATTCGCATTCAAGTTTTTTTCTTCTCTTTTTGTAATAACATTCTATGTAATAACATGTAGGTATTTAGCGGAATAAAAGTAGGTAAACTTTGCATAATGCATCAAATTACTTACAGAATTTCATTCATGTTCAGAGTATTTTGACGTCGTTGACGTTTATTCTTCTTGTATTTAGGCATTTGCACTAATTAAACAACAAATTACACAAAATTATATTCTTATCACTAGGTAAGTATTTACGCTAAAACTAAACTAAATAAAAACAAAGCGTCTTTCAGCAGTAGTCTTTTCACTGTAGCCTACTCGATAATAATAACACTCTCTAGTATATATACAGTAATTTATGAATAACACAATCGTAGCGTCTTTTCGCGGTTAAAAACACGTGAGCGCATTGGCTGGTAGGTAGGTACTCAAATAATATTATAAGGCTGCGTCCCCAGTAGGCAAACAGTTAGCGGCTGACTGAGTGAGCCGCAAATTTGCAGCGAACTGAAATTTGAGTTAGCTGCAGACTCAACTCAATTTTCGTGCGTCGCAAGCAAACTGTTAAGAGTTAGCCGCTTATTTAGCCGACCGACTGAATTATCACTTTACTTTTGTTGTACGAAGGGAGTGGTTGTGTTGGTCACGATGGATATTTTTGAAGTAATTGGTATCTTAGAAGCGCTGAAAGAGGATAAAAGGAAGCACTGGGTTCACCCATTATACAAGAAAAGGTTGAGCATTGGACAATTTCACACTCTTTACCCAGAACTAAGGAAATATCCAGAAAAATTTTACGACTATTTCAATATGACTTCTCATACATTTGATGAATTGTTGAAATCTATAACCCAGTACATAGCTAAAAATAATATCACAAGAGATACATTATGTCCCGAAGAACGGCTTACTATAATTTTGAGGTAAGTAAATAATTAACGCTTTAGGATTTAAAAAAAATATGTTATTTTTATTTTAATACAAAGTCACTTTCGCATTTATAGTTTTTAATTTAACAATCACTTTTCAAAATTACTGTATTATTAAATTGAATTAGGAACAAATATGGTAACATTAAGTTGGTAACCAGTCATTCCTCATCTTCAATGTGGTTTGAATCGCCTCGCAATATTGCTTCTATGTCTTCTACTTCCGCTGAAGAACCTGTAGAGCTATGTGATAGACTGTTTCGAGGGTAGTTTTGCACATTTGGTGTACTGCTGCTTCCACTCGCATAGCCATACTGATGTGGGTACTGGTAGGCATTCGTCCATTCAGTTTGCATCATACCACCGTCATAATTATTATATACACTATATTTTATATTTTTAATAATTTTCATCACTTCGAACCGAAATTCAAAATTCTGTGTTGGGGACATTGTCTTCATTTCCGGTAAAATATTTAGTAGAAAGTTCATATCTGGATCGTTTTCTCTTTTTTTTCCATCGAGTTAATTAGTGCTTCTTGAAACACAGTCATCTTTTTTGGTCTACTGACATTAACTACCGAGTCAGTAGAATCATTTTCATCTAAAATAGCGTTACTGTCGCTAGACGTCTCGGCGCTAATATTGCCAGATGTCTGGTTGCTAGCTCTAGAAACATTTAAAAAGTGTAACATGTCCAAGCATGGTGTCTTGCGTTTTTTTGTTGCCCCACTTCCGCTTTTGACTGAGGAATCCTTATTTTTTTCTCTGGTGTGATAGTCGTGCAAACCCTTCCATTTTTTTGTAGGTCTTTTACTGAAACAGAAATAATCGGTAGTTCAATATTCTTTCCAGATTCCTGTCAAGTGGACTAAGTTACAGAAAAATTGCACAAGAGTTTCTTGTTGGAAAATTGACGGTATCGAAAATAATAAGTGAAACTGCATGCATTATATGGGATATTTTACAGCCACAGGAAATGCCGGAACCTTCTGAAGAATTGTGGCTAGAAATAGCAAAACAATATTATAAAAAAACAACTATCCTAATTGTATAGGATCTATCGATGGCAAGCATATCCGTATTAGAAAACCACCAAAAAGTGGGTCTAACTATTTTAATTATAAGAAGTTCTTCTCAATTGTTCTGTTAGCCGTAGCAGATGCAAACTGTTCTTTTATAGCTATTGATGTAGGTGCTTGCGGACGAAATGCTGACAGTAATATATTTAAAGAAAGTGGTTTTGGCAAAAAATTGGCGTGTGGGTCTCTGAAGATTCCTAACTCAACTAAATTGCCTAGTTTATAACACTTTTTAGGGCGTTACTCACCGGCTACGGTTGTCGGAGAGTTAAGGGACTCGTGGATCAAAATAAAAGTATCCCAGGGCGCCTGTTGTTGGATGATTAGTAAATGAAAATGCTAAGTTACATATACGGACAAAAAGTAGTTTATTTCCTTCTACGGTTCACATGTATAGCTCCAAATATCAAGTTTTCACTTTAAAATACCCTACGAACTGAGGTTTTGACTAACCTGGTGGATTACACAATATTACACTGTTTATGGTCAATCCCGCGAAACAGTGAGGCAACAGATATCCTCCAGGTGTACGCCGGTCGCGGTCTCCTGGCCGCCCAGTCCCAATATAGCCACCCGTTGAAGCTGCCTCGCCTCGTTCACATTGTTGAACTTGATAATGGACCATACTCAAAGTACGGACTAAGGACTAAGGACTAAAGGACCCCTATGACAAGGCAAAAGAATCTATGAAACACCGTGTACCGTTAATTAGAGCACATGTGCTTTTAAGAAGACAAAAACATTAAGTACTTACAATTTATGGGATGATGTGTTTCAACACAGTAAACTGCCCGTAGACATTGTGTTTAAGGGGCCGTACGCCCAAGTAGTCGTCACTTTAAATTCATGTTCCGGCGTTTCGATTCAAAAATTATATTTGTGCGTGTCCGATCATTACAACGGCTCGCTCCAAAAAGAACTAGGCCTCCCTTGGGCTACACGCCACCGTCGATCCGTGGTAGGATTTCGAAGTAACACGAAAGGTCAATTGCATGCAATTAGCTAGCTCGATTCGTCAATATACGTTTCTAGTTACTTCGGACTAATGACGTTAGATGGCGCTCTGAAGTCTGTTCATCGCATGTAATAACGTAAATATGCTAAAATAATGTACACGAAAATTTTCGTGTTACAAGTTCAAATGGATTGCCCCAACCTTTCGTGTTTCTTGGAGATGAGGCATTTGGATTACAAAAGCATATTTTGAGGCCTTTTCCTAATAAAAGTTTAAATAAGGAAGAGCGAATTTACAATTATCGTCTTAATCGAGCTAGGAGATGCGTGGAATGTGCATTCGGCATCCTAACAAGCAAATGGAGAGTTCTGCATACACCGATCGCTACTAATGTGAATATAACCATCGCTATCGTAAAAGCTGTTTGTATTTTACATAATTTTGTCATAGCTAGAGAACAAGCACAATATGCACAAATTTCGCGACGTACCTCAATAACTCTTACAAGTTCAAGGAGCCAAATTATTACTGTATCAAATTCTGGAAAAATAACAAGAGAAAACTTTAAAAACTATTTTCTTAACGAAGGAAAGCTACCCTGGCAAGAGAAATATTTGTAAGTTGTAGCTACAGGAAGAAATAGTGTAACGGAGTGTGTAAAGCCGTAAATACTATGTGAATTATGATACTTTGTTTTATGTAGTGAGTGATACAAGTATATTGTTGAATAAATAATAAATTCATTAGAATGGAGCTTACTTCATTTTTGTTTAGTGTTTTCTTCTAAGTTTTCTTCTTTCAGACTTCATTCCAATTGCTCTGCTTTAATACTCTGTTGCTGTATTCTTCACTCGACATGTTCCATATGCATGGTCTATTCTGTATTTCACTAATGAACCTTTCCGTATCAAAGGACATCTTGGATTTTCAGTGATGTGCGTGTGCGTTGAGATTAGTTAGGTGCGATGCAAAAAAACACGTCCTAACACGATGATAGCTTTTTTCCAACTATCCGAATAATCAGTTTGCGGCAAACTGAGTCACTACGCCCGGCGAACAACCAATCGCCGCCGCCGACTGGAACCGGTTTTGGTGGGAGTCGGCCGCTCACTAAGATAGTCGGCGCGCGTAACGCTGCAAACTGCGTACAGTGAGCGCAAAACTAGCAAACTGTGAACACTCCATTTGAAATATATGGAAGGGCGTACTAAACCGATACGCCGCTAACTCAGTCGGCGGCTAACAGTTTGCCTACTGGGGACGCAGCCTAAATGTTTGCGGCAAAACACGAAATGACGATGACGGGAGCGAAACGGCTTCCTCGTACGAAGGCATGCAGGGCACTGATAACTGTTTACTAGTCAGAGACAGATAGGACAGTTCTCTAGTTGACGGTTAGTTCCTATGAATTCGCAAAGCGCTAATGTCGTATAGTGATGCAAACTAGGTCTAATATTCAAGTGACGATATCGATAGTTTAGTGATAGACACAGGTAAAAAGTCGATATGCAAATATTATTTTCTTATATTAAAAGACTTATTTGCAAAGTTCAGCGAATACATATCTGTTGTATGTATTCAGTCTTAGTTTACAATAAAACAACATCTCAAATTTTATAATTTTTTATTTCTTTTTAACCTTTGGGCTTGAAATTTATTAAAAGCCATATTTGGAGTGCACACATTTGTTTTACAAGTTTTTCTTGCACACCCCCTCTCAAAATTATATTCAAAATATTGCACCAATTGTGGATATGAATTCGTAAAATCAAATTTAAGAAAGTTTTTGTAACGATTTCTTTGTGATTTTCACAACCTAACCAACTAAAATCATATTTTTGAATTATTAATCTCTTTAAAAGCTTTTTCAAACATTTTTTGTGGGCGTTGTTATTCAAATAATCATGTATAAGGCCAGAGATATCCCTATACAAAAACTGAAACTTTTTTGATGGATATTTTAAATTACTATTTTTTAAAAGATTGTACTCTCGTTGCTCGATCCATTTATACAATCAATTTTTTTTGTCACTCTTCTGCATATGTATTCTACTGTATATGCAGAAGAGTGCACGCGTAATCTTTCATTTGCTGGATTTATGGATTGGTTGCTGCTGCAACTCTTGTTATAATTTTTTGGACCAATGTTATGGGTGGAATATTTTCTTTATCCTCATCAGTTACTGTCTCATGTTGATCGTAGTTTCATATTAGTTTAATAAAATCTACCACTGTCTCCACCATCATCCTCACAATTTGCGTAAATTGAATGTGGACTCATAACATTGGACATTAATAAGGATTTAAAGGAATTTTTAAAAGTATTTGCATTAGGATTTATGTTTCTGTAATTGCTCTTATTCTGCCAAAAAAATTCTCTAAAGAATCCTGATTAACATTTCTGGGATAAAAATAAAGTATTCCATATTTTTCGAACAACAATTTAGACAATCTTTCAAAACTTTCTATACATGTAATCCATCCATCAAGAGAAGGAACCCTGACCTTATAGATTTTATTGTTTTTGCTTTTTTTTCAATAAATCTAATATTTTTCAATATATCTTTGGCTTCTTGCCAGAAATTAAAATGCTTGCCGTTTGGTTTTATTGGTCCTCGTAATTTTCCCTTCACAGTACTCCCGAGACCCATTTACGCTATCAAAAAGTTTATCAATGAAATCTACAGCTTCCCTGATATTGGCCACTGTCGTGCTGACATTTTCGCCCATCATAGTATTTCTGAAATGTAATATAGATATATTAAAGAGATGCATGATTAGTATTATTAAGATAGTGTATATTGATAATAAAGTTTTTAATAACTTACTAAATAATGCAGTGTATTTAAGCATTGCACTGGTTGTTTCACTCGGCGCTTGGGCAGCTACGCCAACCTTCATTTTTGTAATTTGTTTGGCATAAATCTGTTAACTTTTTGTTCATTCTTGTATGACCTAATTGGCAATCAGCATTGTAAACAGTTAATGTCGTTCCAAGTGGCAACTTTTCCTTCTAATAATATATCTTTGGTGAGTAGGTTGTTTCTAAGGCTTTTGAGTAAATGTAGTGGATCATACACTACATTTAACTTTTGACTTGATATCTCAACAGCTCCATCTGTAAACAAAAGTTTGTATTTTGATTGTTGTAATCTAAACAATGACATTAACAAAGTTAGTAAAGATGGACATACTCAGACAGCTTAATAATTCAGAGACCTCGTCCAATATCTTGCAACTGTTTGACCTAGCTCGACTCGACTCATTAGATTTGTCCATATAAGCCTGCCCCAATAAATAAATACAGTTCATTTACTTACCATTATATTCTCCATTTAAATTTCTTTTGCGTTCGATGTCCTTTTTTAACATTAGCCGTTCTAAATGTATGTCCTTGGTCACATACAAGGGCTAAAGGAATCAAGTCCGACTGTGAGACTTTATGACTTCTTTCAATATCCGTACAATTACAGCAGCAGCAGTTGTTCCCTCACAAAAATAGTAGGCAACAGGCTGTCGCCAGTTTGAACACACACCTTTCAGCATAAACACTAAGGCATGATCGCAAAATTTAAATTCGCTTTCATTTCCAAAATCTTTAAAGCCTACAATTTCATCTTGAGACTCATTATAAGTGAGAAGAGGTGTGAGAGCCACCTCATCAAACAAAACGCAGCATAATTTCTTCTTTGTATCCCATTTTTTAACTTTGTGCTTTAACAGCTTAAAAATATTATCATTTAAACCCACATTGAATTTGATGTTTTTAGACAAGCGATTTAATGTTCTTTTAGCAGGTAAATTATTATTTTTTTGTAAAAGTCTGTATCCTTTGGGGCTTTCCTTCATTAAAGACAACGACAAGAGCTTTTTATTGGTGGTGTACCTCATTGCTTTCCTTTTTTATTTGCCATTTTCAACTGCATAAGAAGAAAATCTTGTGCTTGTTGTGTCATTTTGCCAAAAGTTTGTAGCCGGTGGAAGGAAAAGGGGAAATCTCCCGCCGGGCAAGGTGTTCTGCCCGGGGAGCGGCCAACGCTCCGATTCGGTAGTTCGGAGCTATTCTATATATGCTGCTTTAATTTCGGAACTTTGATAGTGCGATTTAGACTTCGATGTGTTTCGCTTGTGGCGCGACGGCAGCGCCGCCACATCACCCCCCTGCTCAGACCGGAGGTCGATAGTGCAGTCCGATTGCCGTTGCGTCCTTAATGTCGGTGGGGAATGCATGCTGTGTGCGTAAGGGCAAGTGACGCCGGTGCGAATGATATGCCGGTGTGTAATGCACGCCGTACTACGCACTTGCAAGTGATGCCGGTGAGAACGATGAGCCGGAGCAAGTGGCAGGGATTGCCTTGTAGTCTGCGGTGAGTCGAGAAGAAGGCAAGTAATCTGCGAGAGTGCCGTGAAGCAGAGGCGAGCAGTAAGGCTCAGAGCCGTGCCGAACACTGTAGCGCAGAGAGTAGCTTGAAGGAACAGGAAGCATTATTATTCCAGTGCTGCGATGAACCTTTTGTAAAGCTAGATGGCTTGCAGAATGTGAAGACTGCAGACAATGTCTGCTCGGGAGCGAATGAATGGGGTACTTGAGTAAGATGAGGAAGTTTTTGAAATTGTAGTTTCCGAAGATTGTTGGTTGCGTGTTCATATCACGTCGGGGTCACCAGTGTAGCCGGTGGAAGGAAAAGGGGAGATCTCCCGCCGGGCAAGGTGTTCTGCCCGGGGAGCGGCCAACGCTCCGATTGGTAGTTCGGAGCTATTCTATATATGCTCCTTTAATTTCGGAACTTTGATAGCGCGATTTAGGCTTCGATGTGTTTCGCTTGTGGCGCGACGACAGCGCCGCCACAAGTTTTATTAAATAGCAGGTTATGATTTAGATTCTTAGCAGCATGAAATCATTCTGAAAATGGCTTTTCAAGCTTATTTTCCTCGACAGCAATATTTTTCATTCTTCTTATGAAACATCTGCAGTCGATATTCATATGTAACCTAACAAAATGTTAAGATAAGTATATGATTACTTGAAAGAAGGTTCTGATTTGGCCCTGGCTATCGATTTTCAAAATCCCTGTATTTTCCCCTCATAATACCAATCTCCAACCGACTTTAAATTCCCCACAATTTTGGGAATTCCCCACATGTTGGCAAAGCTGACATGTGTAAATTCCACAGCGTGAGGCGAGACGAGCCGGCCGGGTTAGGCATTATTTAGCACCGAGCTAGATACAGGTCGACAGTGGAGGGAGTGTGGGTACAGTCGCGTTCTAAAGTACCACATGGTACTAGGCTATTGTTTTATAATATTATAGTAGGAATTAATTGTTTTATTGTAGAATCATAATAGGTACTTTACTAGCTACTTAGAACTTTGGAAGAGGTTGGAATTAAAAATGAATAACGTTAAAAGTTTACTAATAAAGTAATTCGTAACAAGAAAATTTAAGCTAAGGTTGACACGCCTTCCATTATATCGTTGGAACATAGAACATGGAAGCCAGATGTCGATGGTGTGTTGGTGTTACTGGATGCTACTTCATCATCACTTTCATCTTCGCTTGAGCTTCCGCCATCAGAATCATCATCAATGCGAATGATAAATGTTTACGTCAACAGGTCG